ACCTCAGAATCCGCATGGTATCCATTTTTTTCTACATTTTATTTTCTGCGGGTGAAGCCGCAACAGGTAATCTAGTACCAAATAGTAAATACTGTTGTGAGATGTTTCAGGGCATACTCACACTTGGACTCTTCAACTGCACTCTGGGCGTGATTGCCGTCAGATGCATCCTGGTCTAGGCGCAATTGCGGTCAGATACCACGGGACGATTGTGGAAGATTCTCGCCTCTCTTAGGTTGATGGAGGAGGAGGCAATGCAACGACAGGCGTGGACCTTAGTGATCATGTATAGGATGTAACAAGTGATATGTGGAAAAATAAAGAAAAATGGAGAAAAAAAGAAAAAGGGAAAAAACTTCAAGAAAACGAGCGAGAGATTACCATTTAAAAGGGAGAAAAAAGGAAAAAAAAGACAAAAAAAGAAAGGCAAAGAGGGAAAAAAAGGAAAAGCAAAGTAAAAAAAGGGGGGGAAAAAAATAAAAACTTCAAAAAAGAGCTATGAAAGAGTGAGAGATTACCATTACCATATTCTTTCTTTTCACCTTTGTTTTTCTTTTTTCTTTTTCTCATGAGTAATTGACATTACTACTTGTTGCCCTTTGGTTTCCTTTTTTTCTTGTTTTTTTTTTTTCGTGTGTAATTGTTTCCTTTCGCCTTTTGCCACTGTCTCGCAGGCCTACTTGATCGCCCTAGGGAGAGCGCCTCACTTCAAAGGCCTGCCATCTCGGCAGGTAGCCAAAAAGTGTGTGTGTGGGTTTGAGACTTCCTGTCTATATGCTTCCGTGTGCTCAATTTTTTTTTTTATTATTATTTTTTTTTCCCTGCCTCCCAGTTAAGTGTGTGTCTGGGTTGGGACTACCAGTCTATGTGCTTCCAGGTTCTCAGGGTTTTTTTTTTTTCCCAGGTTCTCAGGGGTTGCTTTTCTCTTTTTTAATTTCTTGTTTTTCTGTGTGCGTGTGACTCTGTGTTTATGTTTCGTGTATTTGCTAACGAAAAGTGTGTGTATCGGTTAGGACTTCCTGTCTATATGCGTTCATTTTGTGCTCTCTTTTTTTTCCCCTTTGTTTTTCAGAACCTTTTCCCTGTTCAGTCTGTGTGTTGGTTGGGACTCTCAGTCTATGTGCTTCCATTTCTCAGGTCTGTTTTTTTTTCCTTGCGCGTGCGCGCACGCAGGTGCCTGTGTGTGTTAAATTGGCACCACAACAGCCCCTATTCCCACCCAGATGAGCAGATCCAAAATCAAAGCGTATTCAGTCCAATTGCAGAGAACAGAAGCCCTTGAGTTGAGACAATCCAACTTGGAGTATAATAGAGGCATGTAAAGTTGTGAACCCCTTTCTTAATTGTGTTCACGTTTGCTTTCTTTGGGGTATCCCTTTCATTTGTTCTTGCAGCTCTCCCTTTACCGTGCCTCTCATGTACAACGCTCTCCACGTTGATTGTGTTTGTAAGAGTTCACTTCCACTGACTATGGCGACTCAGCGCCCAACAACCCACTGTTCACACACACCGGATCACCCTGGATATCCCACACGCGACACTCTGAACCCTCACACAACACACACTCACTTCCCCTAAGCTACAGCTATGGCAGCGCTGGCTGCCTCTATCCTATCACTATGGCTACACTTCGTCACTCTCGCCCACTTCGACTTCGGGCCTGCTGCAGACCTCCTCGCACAAGACGCTGAGACAGCGCTTCCGCAGGAATGAATGAATGGCTGTGCGCGTGGCATTCTGTGAGTTGGGGATCGAGGTTGTGAGTTGGGGATCGAGGTTGTGAGTGATACGAGAGACATACCTGGTGCTTGAGGCGAACAACATTGGCCGAGATCTGCTCGTGCTTCGGGGAGCTGTTGACGTCATCAGCGGCATCGTAGATAGGCCAGATAGGATCAGCCATTTGTAGTCTGGGCGCCGAGCGCCAGATAGGATATCGACATTGGTTCTTCGTTGATGATGATGAGACTATTCGAACATTGTCAATTATGAGCTTTTGTTGTGTTCTTATTTGGTAGAACTCGTGATGCAATTCTGCTATTGGTTCGAGGTCACGACTATCCGGTCTCATGTGTATGATGCTGTTTGATTTCTGAAGTTCGTTATCGCTCATTTTCCATGCATATATATAAAATGAACCTCTCAAGATTCAATCTTAGAATATAACATGCAAATTGAGAGCAATCAGATGAAGTTCACACAAGGTGGAGTGATGTCCATGAACAGTGCAAATTCGAAGTTCCACTCAAGGTGCAATAATATACAATTGGAAAAGTTTGAGAATAAGTGGTTTGAACCGCTGCAACAAGCCTCAGGTATGTAACCAACTTACTCCTCCCTCGGCTGCTTCTCTTCTCTCTTTCTTTCTTTCCCTGTCTCTCTCGATAGCCTCTTTCTCTCTCTCTCTCTTTCTTTTTCTCTCTTGCACTGTTCCTCCCTCACTGTTCCTCACTGACTGTTCCTCTCTCGACGTCCTAGATCTACCCTGAATGCTACTACTGTGTGCCTTACTGATCCTGGGTGGCTATGGCCACCGGGGAACCTCTCCCCTCTCTCCTGGCTATGGCTGACTGTAGCAGCCAGGCACTGCACACTTCTCCCCCCTTGTGCTCCTTCTTCGTCCAGGTCGCTTGATCGCACAAGCTCTCGCAACGCTTCCACAATTCTGCGAAATGAACAAGTGACCCTTTTGGCACTGTAGTCCAAGATATATAGTTGCAGTGGACTGTTTCGTTCCTGCTTCAATCGGTACTGGCCTCCTTCGGCCTCTGCCTTGCCAAAATGCTATTTTGGGAAAGTTCCCAACTTTCTTGTGAGGCTGCTGCAAAATTGTACTTTTGGGGACTTGACATGCTCCTACAGGTACTGTACGGTAYTGTAGCCAACCGGCCTGCGACGCCTGATCCTWCAGGCCCTARGATTCTAATCGACGGGGGCCTGGGACKGGGATGATGTAGGACCCTGTAACCGGGACTGGGAAAGCTTGCAGTGTGAATCCATTCACTCCCGCCGGCCTAATTTCGAGGTCCTCCGAGAAAAGTCAGAACTTTAGCGATCATAGATGTTCAATCCTCTGCGTACCCGCTCGTAGTATGACACTATATGAGGGGCTGTCTGAACTAACTCATCCCTGGTGAACCAGCGATCTTCGCTGGGATCCTGATAAGCAAATCTGACCTTGTATTGTCTCTACGGCCTCCCTCTACGACCTGTACGGAAGGTGTCCTCAGCTGCAATCTTCTCGACATCATATCTTCCGTCCATATCAGGTGGAATCATAGATCTGCGCGAGGGAAATACATCATTAGTCACACAGGGAAGGAGCTTAGAAGCATGAAAAACGGGATAGGTATGCAAATGGGGTGGAATCTCGATGGTGTATGATGGTCCATCTGCGTCACCTTTGACATCTAGCACTTGCCACGGCCCTCTGTAGGCAGGTAGCAACTTCTGAGAAATCCCTTCCTGGGGAATAAACTCTTTAGACTTGACCCAGACAAGATCACGTATCGCAAACTGTGACGGACGACGGTGCTTGTTCGCCTGTTCCATCATTTGATACTGGGCCTTCCGGATGTTCTCAGCCACACGTTCCAAATCCTTCTCATACTGAATGGCAAACTCACGTGTGCCAGGTGGCAGTCTCTGGATCTGATCCGGATTCAAACAGTCTATGGGACGTCGAGGACTCCAGCCTCTATGGAGCTCGTTCGGGGTCCGCGAGGTAGCTAGGTGAACCGAGTTGTTATATGCACTAGCTACTTTGGGAAGATGTTCATCCCAATCTACCTGATCTGGTCTAATGTACATACGCAGTACTTGCTGTAGAATCTTGTTCATCTGTCGCGAAAGCTTCTTCCATTGTATCACGAAAGGTTCTAAAAATGGTTGGAAATTATTTTGGTCCTTCGTATATGATTGACGTGCCTCCTCATTTGCGCACATATCCGGTTTTTCACGCGTCCAAACTGTTTCCACACATCGATGATGGGACTTTTCCCTTCCGAGATCCTATGATACCTCGTCCTATCGATGGCGGCCTTGAGATAGACATGATTGTTTCCCATGAAGGAAGAGGGAGGAATAGACAGTACAAGGTTCACTTCCTCTATCACTCGTTGAATGAGTTCTTCTGGATCGACCGAAAAAAGCTGCTAAAGAATGTTCCCCGTGTTGTTAACGCTTATGAACGACATATCGCTGATGGACAGACTGCTAAGTTTTCGGCAAAACTCACTCCTCACGGTCTGACTAAATCTCTCTTTCTGATCTACGCCTACGACACATTTTGTGCCGACCCTGAATGAGTTACTCGCTCTTGAGAGGGGGGTAGTGTAATGACCCGCCAAAACACAGTCTGAGAACACTGCTGATTTCTAGGATTTGCCGTTGGAATAAATGCCTTGCTAAGATTCCCGAATTCTGTTGAAATTTCCAAGTCTGTGTGTATGTGCGTGCCTGCTGGTTTGCGTGCCTGTCTGAGTGCTTGTCGGCTGAGTGTGTGTGTGACCCGCAAGGGAACTTGTTGGTTGAAAGGCCCCGCATGAACGGTACTTACCTGTGGCCGTGACTTTGAGGGTTGCAGCGGGGAAAACACTCAAGTAGCGGGGGTAGGCCCGCGACACTTAGAGCAGCGGGGAAAAACACTCAAGTAGCAGGTAGGCTCGTACCACTCAAGTAGTGGTAGAAGTGTCGGGCACTGGAGGCTGAGCAAAAGAAGACAAGTTGACATTTTTAGAGGTCCAATAGCGGTAGGTTAGAGGTAGGAGGGTACCAGTCCAAGTAGCCCGAGTCTAGGGCCTGTCCGGACGATAGCAGAGCCTGCAATGATGTTTCCCTCCAAAAGGGAGGAGGTACCGGTTGCTGGGAGGCCGCTCGGCCTAGGAAGTCACCGCCCAAGAGTCCAGTAGGCCACTATATCTTCCAAAGAAGCAATCAGCTCCTCCTCATATGCAGTATGCAAGGATTGGCGACATGCTGCTGAGCCAAGCGCCGGACTTGTGTAGCGCTGCCTGGAGGAGAAGGGCAGTTGGGCGCTCAGCCTGGCTATGGCAAGAAGCTCAGTTTGAGGAGGAGGAAGATGGGGGCGAAGGAGGGATGGGTACCTACCTGGCTATGGTGGACACCATCTTCATCACTTTGTTGGGCGCTGCATCTGGAAGGCCCCAGTTGGGGTAGTGTTGCACCAAGGAAGCTCGAGGCAGAGTCAGGCATGGTGGCTTAGTCAGCAGCGGCATAGCTGCTTTGGGTTGTCCTTTGGACAAGAGTGCAGCAACATAGCTGCTTTGCGTTGTCCTTTGCACAGGAGGGATGAACCCTCAGTAGTCCGCCATAGCCTAGGCATGTGAGAGGTAGAAGAAGGGGGGAAGCCCAAGCTATGGTGGACCTGTTGTTGTTGTGTCAGCAGTAAGAGGGAACTTCGAACATTGATTCTGGTCCATCCAAGCACTGTTATTATTATTATTGGACGAAGAATAAGATTGGCGGACTGAAGGAGGAGGAGGAAGGTGGAGAGAGAAGGGGGCATTGTCATTGGTGTTGTTGGTGTACATCATCTTCTTCTTCTTCCTCTTTCTCTCTTCTTTGATCTCTCTCTGTTTGCAAGTGCTTTCATTTCTTTCGCAATTGGGTGGCATTGTCTTTCATTGTGAATCTGCACTTTGGGAATGACCAAGATCGTAACAATTATGTGAAGTACACATCTGTAAATTTTCAGGGCATTTGGCTGTGCCAAAAAAAACATGAAAAATCGCCAAAGATGGTGGTGTCGAAAACATGCTAGCTCACTCACTAATTTTAATTCGCTTTTCATTTTTTCTTATTTGTCTTATTAGTTTTTTTTTTTTTTTTTCAAATTTCGTAAGGAATTTAGATGTAATGCTCAGGCAAATGTTGTTTATTGTATTTTTCTTCATAACATATTTGTTTTCCAGATTTTTTTTTTATTTTTTTTTTTTTATTTTTTTTTTTTGGTCCACGTTTGGCCTAAACGGCCAAACGCATCCCCAAGGGGTCCCGTAAGTTTGGGTGTTCGGGTTCGGGTTCGGCTGTTCGGCCCATCCCGAACGCCGGTTATATATATATATCGTCACAAAGAGAACTGCCCGGTAAACCGTAGGCAGAGAGAGAGAGAGAAGAGGACAACAAACGAGGGGTTGTGACAAACTGTTTCGTCGGAGTTTCACCGACTCATCGAGAGGCTGAACCCTCAACAGTCTGCAGAATCCCCTCACTGATTACACTGTAAATGATAATCTACCTTAACCAAAATCAAAGTAGACTATCACTCACCCACACCAGATGGAAAACTCTACAGA